ACTTCCGAAGGGTGTTTTGAAACTGTTGTAGCATTCGCTTTCTGGGTCTAACCTAGTTTGGAAGTAGGCATCGCTTAGGTCAATCTTACTTCGGAATCTAGCCCGTCCAACTGCATTTAGGATCTGTGTTTGGTTTGGGATAGCGGAGCTGTCCATAACCGTGTTTTCAGTTCCGTAGTTTGAGATCAACCAAGGGACGGATCCTCTTGCCATCTGCTTTGGGTTGGACAAACATAGGAGCGGCACCTGGGGCTTCTGCCCGGTAGATGACTCCTCTTCTTTGTTGTTGGTTGATCCAATCGCAAAGTGGGCTTTTGTATGCGTCAGGAATAGAGTAGGTCGGTTGGTTCTTGAGATTGGAGGGGTCTCGGAGGCGGATGTGGTGGTTCACCTCTCTCATAGGTGGCAGTTCTTCGCGTATTTGATCAGGGAAAACATCAGAGTATTCATCCAATAGTTTTTGGGTAGTTGCTTCACAGACTGCGGCTCGGTACTCTTCGCTTGTTGGCTTGCATGAGACTCTGACCTTCTGATCTGGGAAATTGATGGTTGATTCCCCACACCTGATTATAGCTTTGTGGCAGTTCAGGAATGGCATGCCTATTAGGGCATCGTATTTGGCTAAGTTTCCAATCAGCATTTCCTGGGGGGGTAGGACTGCAGAACCAAGTCGAATCGTTGCACTACAGGTTTTATGGCTTGTGGATCGTGATCCTTTTATAGCCATATTGACTGGTATGGGTTGGTTAAGGTCTCGAGTGGGGAGTCCATGGACAGAGACAAAGGCATTACTGATCATATCTCTTCCGATTGCGCCAGTGTCGAATAGGACTCGAGCCCTTTTACCATTGATTAGGATTGTTCCTTCCAGAGCGGTGTGTGCCTTGAAGGTAGCCGGAGGTCGAACACTGTTGCATTCCACATCGATATATCCGATATGGATTTCTTCATATTCACTAGATTGGACGTTATCGCTTTCAACATTGTTGGCCGATGCCTCTTGCTTGATTGCCTTTCCTTTTCCTCTCTTCGAAGGGCAGTTCTTTGCCATGTGTCCTGTTTTTCCACGTTCAAAACATTCTCCTTTTTCCCGTCTCGATTCTTTGGAGGATTTTGTTTTCTTCTTGAAAACCCGTGGGGTGTCATCTCCAGAGTTGCTGGAGGCTTTGTGTCTTGGCTGGCTGTTTCTACTAGAGGAAGTCTGTGTTTTGTAGGCCTTGGTCTCATGGAGAATGGCGTCCTTTCGTTCTGCTCTTGCAATAATTACTGCAATATCATCGCCATCTTCCTCGAGTGGTTCTACTTCTCGCCGGAGGGTAGGGTGCATGGTGTCGTAGAATCGTCGCTTCAGGATGTATTTGGAGATGCTTCCTCTCTCCATTCGGTCCTTATACATTATCAAGTCCGTAGCCACATCGGTGATTCGCTTGACATGCATTCCGTTAACTTGCTGGAGCTGGTTGAATTTGTTGTATAGGAGGTCGTTGGTTATAGAGGATTGGAATCGTCCTTTCAGGTAATCGAGAACTGTAGATCCTCTTAATCTTACATTCCCGCCGAAGTCCTTATAGCATTGGTGGTATGCGTCGGTTGCCTTTCCTTCACAGAATGATCCAATGATAAGTCCGGTTGTAGGATCTTCCACATCTTTTCCTTGTAAGAGTAGGAAGTGTGAGAGTTCTGTGGCCCATCGTTCAAAGGCTTCAGGTTTGAGGTCTTTCCCTTCGCCTGTGAACTTCACTGGGAGGTGAAGTTTAAACTTAGGGGGTTCAAATGCTGCGGGTACCTCCTCTTCTTCAGGCCTTGCCCGAGATTTCCCTCCTCCAGAAGGCCCTCCTCCTGTGCTAGCCCTATCTGAATCGCTACTAGATTCTCGGTCGTTTGGAGGTTCAAAGGAAGGCTTCTTTGCTGGAGTAGAAGGGAATTCTCCTGGGGGTTGTGTGTCTTCCGTGTTTGCAGGATCGCCCGGCTCTTTGGCCGAGCTCCGGGGTTGTTTCTTTCTTGTAAGATCTTGCCGTGGGATTTGCTTCCCACTCCTGGTCGTCAAAGACTCTATCTTGGGTTTGAGATGAAGCGAATGTGCTGTGATTCTGCCGCTTCTCTCCGCTAGCGTTCTGAGGTGGATATCGATAGGTTGATCAGGCCTAAATCCGGGGACTGGTTCTTAACCACTTGCTGAGGTTAAAAAAATGTAACGTGTTCGCAAGGTGCTAATCACGTTATCGATAATAGATACGATAGTTGGCAGGTGGCCTGCTCTTCCAGAGAGGAGGCGAGAGCTGAGAACTAAAGGAGGCTTCAAGGGCGTACTGAGGAACAAAGAAGTAACCGTTCAACCAAGTATATTGAAATACTGTCTGTCGAAGTCTGCCTCTTCTATCGTAGAAGCAGGCGGTCTTTAAATACACAAATCTGTTCATGTCTAGCATGAACGAAACTAATCAAATGTATCAAGCGATACACTTTGGTAAAACTTCTCAAGTATCAAAGCGATACTTAAAACAAAACATAACCAAGTATCAAACGATACTTAAAACAAACCAAGTATCAAAGCGATACTTAAAACAAAACATAAAACAAAACCAAGTATCAAACGATACTTAAAACAAACCAAGTATCAAAGCGATACTTAAAACAAAACATAAAACAAAACCAATAACCAAGTACCCGTACCGGTTACATAAGGCATACTCGTCAGGCGCTTGTCCCATGACTCATACTTGAGCCATGTGCGAAAGCATCACAAATCCCACACATAACAAATCATATGACCCTAATGAGTCAAATCTGTAAAATAATAACATACCTGTGACTCATAACGATGTGTCACGTGAAAACACTTTCCTCGCCAAGCCACGTTTGTGACATTAGCTCCCCTCCTGCTAAGCCTGAGTCTCATCAGGCCTTTTCTCCCAGTTTCAATAGTTCCCGTCCTACCGAGGGCATGGTTCTTCTTAGCTTGTGGAACCTTTCGTCGGCCGTCATCTATCTGACCCTCACCGATTTCGGAGTCAGGTTCGCCATTTCGATAGTGTGCAGCTGATTGTCGTTCAGCTGTCTTAGCTTTGCGATAGTTTTCTCATTTACCGAAATTGTGGCCTCGGCTTGGCCTAGTTGTTCTCAGAGTGCCCTGAACTGCCTGTGTAGGCTCCTGACATCCAGTTCCGTGTCTGCACAGGAGTTTTGGGCCCCTCCCTCCCTGGACCGCATCCTCGCGCCCCATACCTTTCTGGTATCTTCTACTTCCAACTCTTTTCTGCTTCCATCCTTCTGCGGGTAGTATCCCGCAGATATTTTCTGTGCCCTGTGCATCCTGCACCCATTGCTGAAGCATTGTTGCCAATGCTTCAGAACGTGGTCCGGGGTGGACCACGCTTTCAACATTCCCTCGGGAACCATCCCGAGCCTCCTTTGTCGCCAAAGTGTGTTTGGCAACCGTCATGGTAGCATACCATCCATGACATAGCGCTATGCTGTGCTTGTCTTTTCCTTTCCTTGAGCTCTTCGTCGGTTGGCCCCATGAGTGAGTATTCAGGGCTGGTGGGTGTAGTTTGGCGGGGGCTATCGCCCCAGCCCTCGTGTTGCTGCAATGGCGCGGGAGTCTTTCCCTCACCTTTGTCTTGGTTGAACGTGATCGTCACCTGGGCCGGGCTTGCCTGGGTATCGCTGGTGGAAGGTTGAGATGGCATCTTGTACGTTTTCGAAGTTGCGTGCGAAGTACTTGGTTTTATCGTGTTCAGGAGAATATCCTGTCCACTTGGCTCAGTATTGGAAGTGACTATGGAAGAAGCGGGAATCGACTATTTCGTCGAGCTCATATTCTAGTTCTCCATTGAGTTCGATTGGAGGGGGAGGAATAAGTGTTTGGGAAGGAAACTTATTGTCGTTGTGTAATTTGCGGAGTGAGATGTGGAATGTATTGTGTATTCGCATTGAGGGGGGAAGGTCGAGTTTATAAGCTCGGCTGCCTACTTTTTCCAATATCCTGAAGGGTCCGATTTTCTTGTAGCCCAGTTTCTTTGATAGTCATGTCATATCGATATTGCGTGGTATTAGCCATACCATATCTCCCGGTCTTATGTTCGGATCTGGTCTTCGGTGCTTATTGTATTGTTCTTTTTGCAGTTGTTGTGCTCGACTTATCTTGTATTGTAAGTTTTCATGTAGTTTTCCCATATCCGCTTTCTCCCGTATCACATCATAAATTGTATGATATGTGGTGAGACATGGTGGATATTGTCCGTAATTCGCGAAGAATAGTGTTGTGCCCATCATTTCTTCCTTTCCATTGTTGTATGAGAATTCGGCCATCGATAACAGCTTGTAACAATCATCTTGTTGATAGTTGAAGTAAGCGCTTAAATATTGTTCGAGTATCGTATTTACTGGTTCCATTTGTCCAGCCGTTTGTGGGTAGAATGCTGTGCTCATTCTGTTTAGTATTGCCAATTCTCAGGTTACTTTTTTCCATAGTCCCGATGTGAATAGTGTTCCTCGATCGGTGATGATATTCTTGGGTAGGCCATGAAGTTGAAATACCTCTCGGAAGAATGTTTGTATAAAATGCCTCGTGTTGATGTCTTTTCTAACCGGAATGAAATGACTCATTTTGGTTAGGCAATCCAACATGACCAGGATGCTATCGCAATTTTCCGATGTTGGTAGGTCCGTGATGAAATTCATAGTAATTGTTTCCCATGGTTGTGCGGGGACTTCGCTTGATTTTAGTAATCCACGTGGTGCGTGTTTAGCCGTTTTCGTTCTCTGGCATATGTCGCAGTTTTTGACAAATTGTTTGACATCTTCGCGTAGTCCTGGCCAATGGAATGACCTCGTGATCAATTCCATGGTTTTAGCCGTTCCTCCGTGTCCTGCCGTTCGGATATCATGGTGTTGTCGTATGATGTTTGTCCTTATCTCCTCTTCTTTCGGGATCCTTTGTTTTCCATCGTACCACATATTTCCATCCTTCCATTGGCATAGCCCCAGGGCAATTCCTTTCATTTCCTGTTTTCCTTCTTCCAAGGCTTCTCTTGTTGACTGAATTGTTTTGTCTTTCTCGATTGCTTTCTCATTTCCTCTTTCCTCCATTGATGTGAATTGGATAACCTCCATTGCCTCGAACTAGGCTTTGGGTAATAGGGTCCGTGTTTTTTGTTTGATTCTTTCTTCTTCTTTCGTTTGTGGTTTGTCGCTTGCAATCCTTGTAAGAGCATCTGGCTTTCCACTTTCTTTGCCTGGTCGGTATTCAATTTTGAAGTTGTATTTGATGAGGTGTTCCATCCATCGTATTTGGCGATCGTTCAGTTCTTTCGTAGTCATGAACGGCACCAGGTTCTTGTGGTAGGTTAGAACTCAGACTGGATGGTCGTTGTTAGAAACGTATCTTCTCCATTCTGTTAATGCTTGAACTATTGCTAATAGTTCTTCGTTTGCAACATCGTAGTTGCACTCTGTGGTGGTCATTATCTTGGATCAATAGGACACTGGCCTCTATTTTCCATCGTCGCATTGTTGCGATAGTATGCCTGAGCATACATATTTTGAGCCGTCCGTCTCGATCATGGTCCTTCGGTTTGGGTTGAAATAGACTAATATGGGTGCCGATGTTAGATGCGTTCGTATTGCATCATATGCTTTTTGTTCCGTTTCTCCCCACTCCCATTTCTTGTCCTTTTTCGTTAGGTTATAAAGCGGTTTTGCAAGCCTGGTAAACCCCTCTATCAACCTTTGATAAAGGTTGCAGAATCCCATAAAGCATTGAACATCTGTCTTGTTGTTTGGTGTGTCCCAATCCTATATGGCTGCTGTTTTAATAGGGTCGACCTTAACCCCACTTTGATTGATGATAAATCCAAGGTATTCTGTTTCTTCATTATGGAATTCGCGTTTTGTTGGTTTGATCTTCATTCCTGATCCTTGTATTGCTGCCATGATATTGCTGATATCTTTTTGGTGTTCGTCTATGTTTTCCGAGTATATGAGTACATCGTCGAAGTATACGATGCAACATATGTCGAGGTACTTATTAAGTACCTTGTTGATCCATCTCTGGAATGAAGCCGGTGCATTGATTGGCCGGAATGGCATAACCAAGTATTCGAACATTCCGTATCTTGAGGCCAATGTAGTCTTCCATTCGTCTCCTGCCTTGATGCGTATATTGTGGTATGCGTCTTTGACGTCGAGTTTGGTGAAGTATTTTGCTGATCGTAGTCGGTCCAGTTCTTCCCCAATCAAGGGTAGTGGATATCAGTCTTTCTTGGCAACCGAATTGAAGGCTCTGTAGTCCACGCAGAGTCTCATTTTTCCGTCTTTGTTTTTGACGAATAATATTGGGGCTCCTCCTGACGCGAAAGAGTGTCCGATCCATCCTCTCTTTAGGTTTTGCTGGATGTACTTCCCAAGTTCTTCAAGCTCCGCTTCCCCTAAGGGGTATAACTTCTTATAGGGAATCTCTTTTGTCTTTCCCGTTTTTTCGTCTTTGTCCAGCTGAATTTCGAGGTCTATTCCTGGTCTTCGAGGTGGTAGCTCCGTAGCTTCCTCTTCTTGGAATAGATTTGTGAATTGGTGATATTCTTTTGGAACCAATTCTCTCTATCCTTTTTTGCTTTGGGATTTCTGGTCCTGAATTGCTAGCTCTGTGCTGATGTTGATTTTTGCTAGAACCGCCTTTTCGTCTTCGTATGTCCATTTGAGAATTCCTGTCGTATCTCCTCTTCAATAACATCGTCTGAAGGCTTGTGCTGTGATCTCTTTGATCTCAATTCTTTTTGTTGTATAGAGCTGGTTTTGGTCCATACTACCAAATCCCTAGTTTCCTCTTATGGTTTTTTCCAGTTGATCTACTTCATGCAGATCCTCTTTGTTGATTTTTTCGATTATCAACTGTGCGATTCAATCTCCTTTCTGGACTTGCTAGTCCTATTGAGCTAGGTTGGCCAGGACCACTTTGATTGCACCGGTATAGTCGATATCGATCACCCCTGCCATGATCATGAGTCGTTGTTTGACTGCTAGACTACTGCAGGGTGCTATTCATCCATAGGTGCCTTCTATGAGTCCAATGGCTATTCCTGTCGCCATCATTGCCTGCCCATTAGCAGGTATCTTGATTCCTTTGTTGGCATATAGGTCGTGTCCTGCTGCTCCTTTGGAACCCTTGGTGGGTACTTTTGTCTCTTGGTCCAGTCTTTTTCTCCGGACCCACTTGTCTTGCCGCATCTCGGAAAACCTTGCATGCAAAGCTTCTTCTTCCGCTTCTCATATCGGTATTTAGTAGACCACAAGGGAATTGTTGAGACATTGTGTCGCACATAGTTCGCTTGTAAAGGTCATCTTGTTCTAGTTCCAATCGATCGTCAGATTATGCTTTCGTACCCATGGCATCCCTAGGACTATCTCATGGTTCTTCAGATCTGTCACTTGAAAGGTTGCCGTTTTCCGATAGCTGTCATTATCCATGGGTACTGTCGCCGTATGGGTTATAGGACCCATAGCCCTTGTCTTTCCATCCACTGTGTAGACTTGACTTGCTTTCTTCGCTGGTTTGGTGTGGAGGCCGTATTTGTCGCATATTTGTTTTTCGATGAAGTCTTCAGTGGCCCCCAAGTCGAGCATTGCATATATTGTTGTTTCTTCGCTTTCTCTGTTGTATATCTTCGTTTTGATCATAACATGATCCCCATCTTCTTCTCCTCTTTGCGTGTGTAGTGCCGTGTAGTGGTTCGCTAATTTGATGGGTTTTCCAGGTCCATAACTTGGGTCTCCCAGACCACCGTGTACTGGGGACCCTCATCGTTTTCCGACGGTGAATCCTCTGCTATCATTTCGTAGAGGTTGCTTCTTTTCTGATTTTGGAAATGATTATTTCCAGCAGCTCTGTTTCCCTGATGTCCGTTGTCCGGTCGGCTTCTCCATTCTCTTATCCGATGCCCAGCTTTTCCACACCTTAGGCATAGTTTCCAATTCATGCTTCTGGCATATGCTTCCTTAGACAAATTCAGAGCAGGCCCTGCTCTTGACTTGTCTAGTTCTATTGGTTCGCCTGGTAGTAATACGCGACTTTCTCCTCGAGGTGCTTGCGGTTTGAAGTTCCCGTCCACATTCCTGGATGATTGGACCACTCTATGTGCTATAGTACTTTCGGAGTTGCTCCGAACTATGTTTAATTTGCTTTCTTTGTCAATTGCCCATCTTGCAAATCGTTCGGCTGTCATATAGCGCAGGTCAGATATTCACCATGCCTCTCGGAGTCTCTCACTGCAGTTTCTCAGGAGGATGATGTAGAGAGTCTCATCATCAAACTTGGCCTCATATTCCAACAGTCGACATTCGTTCCAATATGCTGCGAACGTTTGTTTTCTGTGCTTGAGTTTTTCTAGCTTTCGTCTTGCTGTTTCTTTGGCATTGGGATCTGCAAATTGTTCAAAGAGTGTCGCCTTGAACTCTTCGTATGTGACCCATTCCCTCTGCTTCCTTCCATCTTGGAAGGGCATGATCCATTGTCCAACGAGTCCTCTGCATAGAGATTCCACATATGGAATCTTAATTTCATCATGGTGATCTCCGTATCCTTTAACGGCAAAATATCGCTCGCATTGCGCTAAGAATATTCGTAGCTTATCTTGGGCTCCTTCGTATGTGTAGGGCTCCTTTGCTTTTGGTCATTGGACATTTGCTTGCCCTGTGTTTCGTGTGGCTGCAAGAAATGCCTGAAACTGTTTTTCAGTCATTCCAAGTATGCTGGTTCCTGGTGCCAGAGCGGCTGGGGCTGGTGGCCCAGTTACTGCAGATCCTGACATTCTCTCGGGTCGTGGAGTTCCAGCAGGAGAACTATCGACTGGTGATCCTTTCTCCGGGGTTACTGGGCTTGCTGCTCTAGAGGGTTCGGCTGAGACGTGATCTAGGGCGTCGCTGAATCCTCCTAGATTAAGATTTTGATCATCGATGTCAATATCTCCTTCTCTGTCTGGGTTGAAGGATGCCGTCTTGTATCGTTTGGCGTCGCACTACGTGACGCTTTGTAATGTAACGATCGCTCTCTGGATAGTCAGTGCTTGGCAATGGGGAATGATAGTTCTCTTCCTGTCTTCTTCTTCTTTTATCTTACGATAGCTCTAGGCCTCTGGCTACGTTACAGATAGTACCAGACCCTTGTCTTCTACCGGGAACGCCAATCATAAGCTTTCTCTAACTCTTCTTCGTAAAGCGCCTACCTTGGCATAACGGTAACGTTGCAATAATGATAAAGATTGTAAAGGTGTTTTATATTCGTTAAAGTAATAAGTAGGAAAAGTACTTAGAACAAAGCGTGAAGAACCTATTTTGCTCCGCCGCATCGGCCTCCTTATATAGTCTGCTTCCTGTCTTTAATCATGTGACCTAAAGTGGTCACATGTGCGAAACTAAATCATAACAAACTAGTCATATGACCGAAGTGGTCACATACTCAAAACCCCTGACCTCATAGCGAGGTCATGTGCAAAACTCATAAACCAATCATAACACAATAAGCAAGTCATATGACTCGACTGAGTCATATGCACGAAACCTATGACATCATAATGAGGTCATGTGCGAAACATAAATCATATGCGCAAAGGCTTACCGGCAAGGCACACTCGCAAGGCATACTGGTCAGGCGCATGTCCCATGACTCATCCTTGAGCCATTTGCAAAAGCATCACAAATCCCACATATAACAAATCATAGAACCCAAATAGGTCATATGCGCAAAACAATAACATACCTGTGACTCATAACCATGTGTCACATGAAAGCCCGTTCGTCACTAAGCCACGTTCGTGACAATTACAGTATCGTGGTGTAAATATTGTATGGTGCAGGTATCTTACAGTCACGCACTCAGTGAGGTGCCTTTTGGTTAGGTGGCATTTTTGGTGAGGTTGCTGAGCAAGATGATCACGAACACCTCTGGCAAGGCACTGTAACTCTCGACGATGCAATCCTAATGGGTGATATTTTGACAAGCTGGCGAGGGATGGCGTGCTTGCTTCGATAAAAGATATGGTTGAGAATGCTGCTTGTGCGACTGAGGAGAAAAGTCTGTTGGATAGGAATGATCGGATAATGGGGAGGCATCCGGAGCCCCTAGCTGTCAATTATTGGTAGTGAAGTTCGATTCTTTCTATCTTTCAGATTAATAAATATCGGTGTTCTTGAATTGTTCAATTGAACCGGTGTCCGGTTCAAA